GAAATAGGGTGAATACATCTCATTACACTGATTTACTGGTAGTCTCGAAACCCTACTTACTTATGAATATCTTCAGTTTGACTTAACGAGCTCTTGTCACGATTCCATGATTCAATGAATATCCAGATACGAGAGACCTTCAAGATCCTATGAGCAGTATATGTACGAAAATCTGTGAACCTGTCGGGGCAACAATTGACAATCCGCCTTGGCAACTCATCTAATCGGCTATTCTATCAGGAAATCGGTGCACCATTTGTGGATCATTCAGCCGTCGATAGAAGCGCTCGTCACTAACCAATCACTCAGGACATTTGTGAAGTTATTTAATGCGTAGTCAATTGGTCAATTGGTTGATGCAGTATTTGCGAATATTGTACGCTAGTTGATTCACTTATCAATTACCAAATGAATTTGATATTTCTTAATTGAAACAGTATTTCGATAGACACTATCCATTCAACCGTTCAACAATTACTAAATGTAATACTTCTCAATCTACCAGTATATCATAAATGCTTGCTAGCTGATCCACCAAATAATTGCTAATTGAATTTATTACTTCTCAAGTTAAATAGTATTTCTGTAGTCTATCCATCATTTAAGGCACACATTTGGAGGTTTAATCATTCATTGGTTGTCCCTTAGTTGATCCACTTAACAAACACAACGGTACGTTAGCCATTTAACCTGCTCTCTCCCCCGTGTTGCCAACTGATTAAATATTTTCTTTGCTTCATTATTTGGATAATGTCGTCCGTTTGTAATGAGAAGAGACCGTTGGCTTCTCGTCGTTTATTAACCTCGACTTTGCGACTAGCGTCCCCTCTGTAAGTCAATCGAGCCATCAAATCCTTTATTCTCTTGATCATTTTTACCCTTCCGGAGTTTCTAGCAGGCAAATATGAGGAGGGTGGGTAGACAAGCTTGAGATTTCATTTTGCAGGATCTTAAAAAAATAAGCATTCAGCGTCTATTTATTGAAACTCGCTTGTCATTGGCCACGCGTTGGCTTTCGTCACTCTATTGGCCCATATTGCTTGCACCGATTCCGACATCATTCAAACAGTTGCTATGCCCACTCATGACAGGATCGTGTCCTCCTGTCGCCGCGCTCTTCTCTAGGCTGTTGTCGGCCGAGCCGGTGTATCAGAGGAGGTGCCTGCATGTGTGTGTTGGTCTGTGTGGAGAGTAGTCTCTACGACAAACGGCTGAAGCGGGGGTGACGCTGGCCGAGTGGTCGAGGCAAGAGAGACTGACATTTAGTCGAGTTACGAGATGGACCGACAATTGGGGTGTTGAACAAATAAACAGACGTGCATGACATGCTGTTCGGTGTGAGATGTGCGCTGATCGCGCCTCCCAACCGGGGATTACGCAACGTGTCTCCCCTCTGGCAGACTCGTACCTCGGGTCTCGTGACAGAACGACAAAAAAAATGAAAACAGTAAACATCTAAGGTGACTTTCGAGGGCTTGACTACAGACTCATCTGCCCTGGCAACCGTCGGATCGTGGAGGAAGACTCGTTTCAGCGATTGTCAGCGCGATACTGGTTGCCCACGTCGAGCTCTTCCGTTGCGATCGCGTCGATTGGGCAGATTCCCCCCCAGTAAACTGTACAGCCTTTTGGCATGCTTTGAAAGATGCTGTATCGAATGGAACTGCCGTTTAGACGTCGATCTGGTGCAATTCGAACCCCGAGACACGACACGTGATCCTCACGTTAGTGGGCTACACGGCCTGACGTATACAAATTATGAATATAATTTATTATAACAATTTATAACATGCGCCAAC